AAACTCGCCTGGGCTGCCGCAGCCCCAGCCCGCGCGGGTCACCGGGCCGGCCGCAGGGGCAGCGAGAGCAGCCCGGCCCAGCTCTGCGTGGAGCCACTGCCCGTCCCCGCTCCCGCCAAACGTCCCCCATGGCAGACAGGAGACTTACGCTGCGAGGAGGAGCAGCTACCGGGGGTGGCTCACGCCATCTGCTTCCTCTTGTACCACCACCTGGCAGCCCCGAATCCTCGGGGAGGCTGATGGAGGGGTCCCAGGAGAGCCGTCTGGTCCTCACTCTTCTCAGAGGCCCCATTTGTTCCTGCGGCAGGAGCACCGTGCCTGGTTCAGGAGTGGGCACGGCCATCCCGGCGTGCTCAGGGCTCACCGTCATGGCGTGCTGCGCTGGAGCTGAGCCTGCGGCAGGCAGCGCTCCCTTGAAGCAGTGGGGGGGCTGGTCCCAGGACGCCTCCGAATCAACTGAATAGTTGTTTTTTAAACAATGTGTTCACTCTGTAAACAAGGAAAACCGTATTTTTTTTTTGCCACGGGCAGAGCATCTATGTAGTATGCAAACCCCCCTCAATTTTTGCATCAAAAGTAAAACTTACTCCTTCGGCATCGCTCCCGGGGCCGCTGGCACAGCGGTGGGTTGCTCACTGCCGGGGCGGGCGAGGAGGCGGCTGGGGGGAGGTGGGGAGGTCACACATTGACACAAACCCCAGTGGCTGCCCCGTTGGTGCTATTGAAAACTCGCACCGTTGGGAAAATCCCTCGTATCTGCCCGGTCCCGTGTTTTCCCAGGCCCTGCCGGGAATTGATCTCCAGTTACCGGAGGTGCCGGCTGGAGGGGGGAGCCAGCGCCAGCAGCACCTCCCTGGCTCGCTCGCCGCTGCCAAAAGCCAGTGTTGTTTTGAGTGCTGGGGGCACTGGTTTCACTTTCCTGTTCAGCTCCGCAGCTGCTGGGAGGGGGCTTGGCTTTGTGGGAAGCAATTGCATCACAAGAGGAGGCCAAATTCCCTCCTCGGAGGCGTTGGGAGTGCTGATGGTCAGACAGACGTCTCCCTGCAGACTTCGCTCAGAAACAGCCTCTCCTGTGGGGACAGAGAACCCCTGAACAGACCAATCTCTTTTCAGCCGCTTTTGTTCAGATGAAGCGATGAGAGGCAGCCCCAGCCGCTGTCGCGACTTTCGTTTCCCGGTGGGGCACCCCACAGCGCTGCAGCCCTGCTGTCTGGTGGCCACAAGTGTTTATTGAAGCGTTCAGACACGAATTTGACAGTTGAAGCGCTCTGCCCGGGCTGCAGCTTTGCGGCAGCTCGTGGTACCTCTGAAACTGCAGCTGCTGCCACATGACGGGTAAAACTTCCCCTTCCCGGTCAGGCAGGACTGCGGCGACATGGCCGGAGCTGGGAGCGGAGCTGCACCCTCGGCTCCTCAGGTGGGATCACCGGTGCCGGGGGTGGTGGGACTGGCCCAGTCCCTGCGGCGGGACCGGCTGGCACAGCTGGGAGAGGTGGTTTAAGCCGCGTGGGGCGGCCGAGGTGTCCTGTGCCACCTCCTCCCAGCCAAGGCACTCGGCAGCACGCGGTGGTGTGGTGGGACCACGTGGTTCCTGGGGCTGCCAACCTGCAAAATACTGTCTTCTTGCATTTCAGAACAGAGGCTTCTCCAAGAAGAGTCACACATTCCTGCCTAAAATATTTAGAAAAATGTCTACTCAGTCAACAAAAGAAAGACCCGAAAGCTTACACTTTCCTTTCCTTGACGATGAAGATACCATCTCCACACTCAAAGAATCGAAAACCTTTTTTATTTTGAGAGGTCTCCCTGGCAGCGGGAAGTCCACTCTTGCCCAGGCGATTCAAGAGAGGTATAAAGACGCCTGCAAGGTCATCTCTGTTGATAACTATAAAATTACACCTTTAATAAGAAGCACCATTCCTGAAGAATATTCAAAGGTGGATGAGGATCTAGTTGACTATTGCAAACGAGACATCAGCGTTATCGTTTTGGATGACACTCACCACGAGAGGGAACGACTGGACCAACTCTTTGATATTGCTGACAAATACCGGTACAAAGTCATCTTTGCCGAGCCCAAAACCCAGTGGCGGATGGATTGCTTGCAGCTGAAGGAGAAGAATCAATGGAAACTGTCAGTGGAAGAGCTGAAGAAGATGAAGCCGAGCTTGGAGAAGGAATTCCTACCCATGTATTTTGGGTGGTTTTTGAGCAAAAGAAGCTCTGAGATCCTGAGGAAGGCCGGCCAGGCCTTCTTAGATGAACTTGGAAGCCTCAAAGCCTTCAAAAAGGAGAGTAAATACTGTATGTATAGAAGTATCTTACCAAGTTCTTACTGTGGTGATAAAATGTTAACACGCAGCCAGTGGGACAAGTTTGGTCAGATTCTAAAGTGAATTTCTAGTTAAAGTTAGCAACAAGAAAAACTGTTTAAAGATATTTATCTGTTCCCCGTAGGTGACAAAGTTGCTGCTGTACGTAAAAATAAATGAAACTGTTTTTCCTCTTTAGCTGTGACAGCGTAGGGAGCTGGGTGGGGGTGGCATCCCCTGGTTGCTGCGGGGAGTCAAAGAGAAAAGGGACAGACTGAAGACTCCTCCCTTGAGGGATCTGTACAGTGGCGAGGTTAAGGTGAGCCCCGATGATGCACTGAAGCTGCTGTTCTCTAGTCACATCCACGGTTAGCCCCGGTGGAAGGAGGAGTTTTATTTACCCATCTAATCCTTTTGAGCAGTAACAAAGAGGAAACATGAGGGACAGGTTGGTGAAGAAAGCTGAGATGGGACTTGGCTCATGGGGTGACATCGAGGGATCATTTTTTGAGAGTAATATTGTTTACCTGTATTTGCAGTTGCTTCTGCTATTGAAGATCCCAAAATAAAAATAGATCTTACCGGCTACTTTGTGAAGAGGCCGCCCGGGGTCTTACACTGCACCACAAAATACACCGAGTTCGGAAAAGCAGCCGGAGCCGAGGAATATGCACAGCAAGAGGTGAGTATGGGGCTGTGACCCCAACCCCTCCCCAGCCGGGACCCACGAGCCCCTCGGGGTGGGCCGGAGCTGCAGCTTCACTTGGAGCCGAGAGGGTGACTGTAGGGACAGGATCCGCGTCCACATGGCCTCTGCGATAGAAAAGTCACAATTGAGAGATGGTGACTATTTCCTGTTAGTTTCCAAACCAAATGCTCCTGCCCCCCCCTGTCCTCCGTCCCCCAGCACCATCTCCAATCGCTTGATTGAAGTGACGATAAATTACAGTATTTGCACTTCCAGCTAAACTATTTCAAAACAGATAACTCCAAGTTAAATATTGGAATTTGTGAGGGGAAAAGACGTAACCAGCTCTGAATTCACAGAGCGGGAACTTCAGGCCATGGTGTTCCCGTCATACACAGCACGGCACAGACACGGCAAAGCGAGAGCTGCTGTGCTCGGCCGGGACCCCGAGCCTGTGGGCAGGAGTCACCGCAGCGCTGTACCGCAGCGGCGTGCAGCAGTTAAAGCTCTGTCCGTCCTTCTCTCCCTCTTCTCCCAGGCTGTGAAGGCTTCCTACGGCAAAGGCTTCACCTTGTCCATTTCGGCCCTGTTCATCACAACAAAAACTGTGGGTGCTCGCGTAGAGCTGAGCGAACAGCAGCTGCTGCTGTGGCCCGGGGACGCCGATAAGATCCTCCCCACCGACAACCTCCCGAAAGGCAGCCGGGCCCACATCACCCTCGGCTGCGCCAACAGCATCGAAGCGGTCCAGACTGGGCTCGATCTGCTGGAGTTTGTGAAACTGGAAAAGGCAGGGAACAAAGGGGATCAAGTGGGGGAAATTGGAGGAGGGAAACTGCTGTATTTTGATAACGGTATGTGGATGCTCACCCTTTCTAAAAAGATGGATGTGAAGGCAATATTCTCGGGTTACTATGGAAAAGGAAAACTTGTGCCAACACAGAGCACCAACAAACGGGGCTCTGCTTTTAGTTCCTGCACCATCATCTAGGAGCACGGGCAGGGTAGCTGTTTGTTTGTTTTTAAAAGGCAAGTAACTCCTGTAACCTTTAAAATTGTAAAGAGAAATAATTCTCCCTTTACTAAAGTAAGCCCTTTTGCCAAGCCCAGTGTGAAGCCTCTCTGCGGAGAGAGTTTATCGGCCTCAGAACAAGGAAGAAAACAAGCAACTCTTGACTGACAAAGGAAAACTGCCACATAACCGATGTGCTGCTGAGTGTGTTTTAAAGGAAGAGTTTTGGAGAGAAGCAGCCGCGGTGTTCTGCTTGTTTTCTTCCTCGGAGGAAGACCAACTATGGTCTTTTATAACTTCCCTATGAACCACAATCGTTAGATCTTTACATGTCAGCACTACGAGCAGTGGCAGACCAAACCCGTATGTACATAACTGGTCTGAAGCCGAGTGAAGTGAACTGTGAAACATCTCCCCCTTCTCCCCCACCCGGGGGACAGACATCAGTCGTTCTGGTAACTGAATTACTGGGTAAAAACCAGCAAGACCCAGTTGTGGATCACTTCTGTGGAGCGTGGCAGTCACGGCCAGTCCAGCCCTAAGCAGAGCGGTGCGGAGGCAGCCGACGGCCAACAGCTTTGCTCAGAGCTCACTCCTGCAGCCGCCCTCCACCAGCTCGTGTCCGCTGCATGCACGTGCAGGGAAGACACTGGTGAGGGGACAGGAGACAGCACGTTGCCAGGTGATGTCTTAAAAGAGCTATCACGGGTTATAAAAAAACCCAAAATAATCAGAGAAAGGGAAACAAGTGAGATAGAGGAGCGGCATTCAGTCCCTGTCGCACGGCTCCAGCCATTTCACTGCACCCGCCAGAGCGGGCTGGACCAAGCCCTGTCCAGTGTCCTTGTCCTGTAGGGAACGATCCTGCCTTGGCAGGGAGTGGAAGAGATAGACTAATGTCTTTTCCATCTTATTTTATAGAAACTAAAATCATGTCTGAAGTACAGAACTGTACTTCATGCAAGATTTTACTACTCTCCTCTAATGCACTTGGATGTTAGGTTAGGCTGGCAGTAACACTGTAGTGTAGGATGTAAGTGGAGGTATCGTAACTGTGTAACTTAAGTCTGCTCAAACCTAAACCTCTGGCTGGAAAAAAAGTTAATGATGAAGCACTTCTGTTGTCAAATCTGTTCTATTGAAACTCATGTTTTTGCTCTTAGCCAGACGGTTTCCCAGTTGGTCGGTGGATACGTGGCCACAGCTTTGCTGTAACACAAAGCTCAACTAACAGATTCAGGTCAGGACAACAGTTTAAACTCACGCTATGGCTCTGTTTGGTGAACTGTGTAGTGAAATTAATCCCGTATTAATACATGTAAATACTTACTGTGTTTGAGAAGTGTGTGCTGGGCTCGTACCTGTAAAGGAGCTGTCGGGTGGGCGCCGCTCACCTGTAGAAACCGTTGCTTGGGAAGCCCAACGCTGCCTGTGCAAGAAGCATTTCTCCAAATGCTTACAACAAAAGCAGGGAGTGCTTTGGGGCCAGTCTGGTGAACGCTCTGCACGTTTACCAATAAAGCAAAATACTTCCTGCTGTTCCAAAAAGATGGATGGCAATAAACTCTCATTGTAACATTAAAAAATTCCATATATATGCCCCGCTAGCACCTGTAATCCTCCCCTGCCTTCAACAGAGAAACCCTTGTGAGCTTCTGCACTGGCAGAGGGGCGAGTGCCCGACGGTCAGCTCGGGCCTTTCCTAACAGAAATCTCACACGGGTTTGTTCCATCGAAACCCTGAAAACGCGTTTACCAGCCCAGGGCAGCTCCTGTGGGAGCGCAGGAGCACGCTCGGCCCTCTCCCTCCAGTGCCCCGGGAAGCACCCAATGCTCCGGATCACATCCGGCACTGAAATGCACAGCTGGAATCTCTCGTTTATTCGCCTGCTCAAGAACAACAGTGAGACTGTCGTCATTTAAGTTTTTATTAGTTTGTACATCATATACAGTTTATAATAAAGTAAACCAATTGCATATGGTTTTGCTTCAGTCTGTGATATTCGTCATATAAACACATCATTATGAATTATGCCTAATGAAGTAAACAACAAATATTCACATTTTTACCATTCACATCCTAGAAAGGTAAGGGTCCAAAGAGGGACAGTGTTCTTACCGATGTGAAGCCCGTCTCCGAGAGGATGACGTGTTTGGCAAAGCGATGGGGACAGCGATTGCTCCATGCAATACTCCTTTCCTCCCACGGGAAAGGTTAAGATATTTACACTGAGGTAAACATTCAGAATTTCAATTCAGATAAATACTGCAGCACAGGGGCTCGCGTCCTCTCCAAGTTGGCTTCACATCGGTGTCTGGTTTTGCCTTGACTACTCCTTAACGTCGTTACACAAAGCAGATACGCATGCAATGAAGGTGCTCGGTTTGCTCGGAGGGGTTTCGCACTCAACCCCTCCAACACAGCTTCGCGCGATTTTCTCTTGTGAAGCATGAGCGACTGCGGGGAGGGAGACGGGGAAACGGAGGGCAGGTTGGCTCTGCCAGAACTGCCGCCAAGCTGCACACCCCCCCAGCGGCAGCATCCCACTTCTCCCACCAAACTCCTGCCTTCCCCAACACCGCCACTGCGCTGGAGCTCGAGCTCAGTAGCACCGTGTTACAGACCACGCCGCACCTCGGCACGCTGCTCACGGCACCGCACACCAGAGCTCTCCTTCACAGGTCAGATCTGCGCTAAGGTGAAAACCTGCCCAGAGGAGGGACAACTCTCTCCCTGACTCTGCAGGAGAGGGGGAAGCGGGGACACGTCGAGGGAGGCCAAAGCATTCCGCATCATCTCTCAAAGCCAAGCACAGGTCCTGCCGCTCCGGTGAGCGGGGACAATAGGGAACTCCAGGACACAGTACGGCTGCGCCTGAGCGGCCACCAGGGAAACAGGGGGTCACTGAACTGCTGCGATCGGGTCTGCCGCCCCACGGCCTCAGTTACAGCACTGCTGCAGCCGCCCGGGCCGGACCCCGGCACTGCTCGGAGCAACACATGAGCTCTCCTTTTTCCCTACGGAAGGGGAGGGGAGGGTACAAGGCACAAATTTAAACGGGATGAAAACCATCCACTTGAAGATAAGTGAATATCTTTAGTTATTACTGAAACTGAGGAAGTAATTTTGAAAGAAGAGCAAACCACTGCGTGGCCCAAACGCTTTGGTTGTTCAATGGGTTGGAGAGCGACTCGGCCGAGCGCAGCCTCCGGCGCTGGCGGGTGCAGGAGCTGAGCCAGTTTCCCTATCGGAAACAAAACAACAGCGCAGCAGCTTCCACTCTGTATCCCGTCAGATACAGAAAGCTGAGGGACTTGCAATATTCCACGGACAATAATACTGTTGTCCCTAAACTTTTTCTTTTTCTTTTTTTTTTTTTTTTTTTTTCAATCTGCATTAATGTATTTACAAAACAGTCAGAAGCCGTTAGCACTAAGGATGCAGCTCCACAGCAACACTTCCAAGTTCACCAACAAAACCACGTACTTTCCCATGTAGCACGTGCGGCAGAAACAGAAGAGCCTGTCAAGGTGGGCAGCCAGAAGCATCGGAATGGTCTTTGCAGCTGATTTCCAGTGCGGGTTCAGCGTATCTGCAAAGGACTCTCTCAATACTCCCCCGCAAAAGGCGGAGCTGACACAGCATCAGATTTGTAAAGTAAATCCACACAAGAAAAAACACACCAGGCTTTGTGGTCCAGAGGTCGGACCATTGCACATGCAAGTATCTCCCACACACTGACATTACTGATGCATGTTTTCATTTTTAAAGCATGAAATTGCTTCCATTTTAATTTGAATGCAACTGCATTTCACGATTTGAAACTATCCCTACAGCAGCTCAGACACCACAATATCATGATCAGGCAAAAAAAAAACATGAGGGGGAAAGCACAATAGTCAAACAATTCCTCATCTCCTTCTAAACGCTGCAGAGTCGGGACAACAGAGCCTTGCTCGGTCTGCCGAGAGCCACGCTGCCCCCACGCACACCATTCTCCCTCTGTTTGACAACTCTCTTGGAGGAAGCCGACAGCTCTCCCTCAGTTATCGAGCAGTTCGATAGCAATTACTTCCACCACGGCTGCTAAAAGACCCCTCCCGCAGACACCACCCGGTCTGGCTTCCAGCCACGTCCGCTCTGACACCTCTGGGTCCTTCCCATCGGCACCAACAAACACCCCCCGTCGGAAGCACCGGGCAGGGGCCGGCAGGCCGAGGGGCAAACGTGCCCCGCGCAGCAAAAGCCGCTCAGCATCTGCATTTTGGGCCGCTCCCCGAGCGGAGGGGGCACAAGGGATGGAACGGGGGCACGGAACAGGCTCAGGTACACCTCAGGGTCAAGTATTAAGGCTCATGCTGCTGCACCAAAAAATAAACCTTTCAGTAACTACAAGGACTGACTTCCAGCAAGGTAACTCTTCCCATTAGAAGGACGGGCTTCACCATCGGTTTCTCCCACCTGCCAAGTTCCCGCGGTGGCCTCGAGTCGCGCCGAAGGGAACAGCGCACTTCTGCGTACGGCTCAACGCACGTACACCGCGCTGTGCGTGTGCCTCCCCTACAGCAACCGCCTCCTCTCACCCTCACCAGCGCCTGATCAGTCGAGAGAAAGCACCGGCATTATACCTCCTCCAGAGATCTCTGTGCCCATCTCCGCCTCTGGCAGCTCCCGCAGAGCCGAAGGAAACCGGAGGGGTGTGCAGAGGGGCAGCAGCCGGGAAACGGCACCACGGTGCCCTGCGCAAAGCACAACCCACGACTCACGTTCCGTGACTACCAAGTGTGAACGGCAATGCTTCAAGCAACGCGCATCTAAGCGGATTTTTCCCAAAAGAAACAGTCCCGTGTCTCGGAGCCGTGCTAGGACACGATGGAGGTGACAATGCCACCGCACCTCTGTCTCCAGGCGCTGTCCTGAGGTAACGGGAGTCACCAACGCCGCTCAGCCCCCCGTGCTCTGCGCAAAAGGGAACACGTGTTCGCCTTCACTTCGAATCGCATCGTAACGCCCCTCAGAAAAGCCTTGGCACTCACCATATTAATATTTAACTACATTAAATCATGCATTCATGTACAGTTTTATAAATATCTGCTGTATACATTTTCTCTCTCAGAAGAAAAGCCGTTCCACTCCTGTCCTCCCAGGAACGGTCTCAGTCAGTCCGGGGAGAAGGCAGCCTGTCGCGCTTAACCGGGGGGGAGTAACAACACCCACCGAGAAATGCAGGACACGGCTCCGCATGGCGGGAAAAGACAGAGAAGTCCAATCTGTACAGTCATACCGATACCCGAAGGACAAGACATTATGAGTCTGGAATGCCACACTAAAACAAATCCTGTAAACTCTGATTTACGAGTGCCGTGAGAAGGGGAGAAGTACCGACGTGCATAGACCGGGGCGTCAGCTCCCCGGGTAGTTACCGCTTCAGAGACTGAAAGACGCTGGGACCTTATTCTGCTCTCAGTGCAATCCGGATAAGTCCATCACATTACACTGGTGTGAAGGAAGTTAAAACAAATGTTGTAGAGTCTATTTTTGGAAATATTACTCAACATTGGCTCATTTGAAAAGCTGACTTTCGAGCGAGTTATAAAATACTTCCTTTATTCTGCAGTACTAGAATTTAAGCCCTTAAATCTTCCCTCTATGAAAGCAGATTGTCAAAATTTCTGACAGAACACAACCCCGGGGCTGTGGCACGCGGCGGCGGCAGCACCACGACGCTATTGCAGCTTTGGAAATGACGTTAACTCGCACTGCGGTCCGGCAACTCTGTCCCACTGAGCGGGACACGTACAGCCCTCAAAGGGAAGGAAGACAGAGATGTTGGCATCCAGAGTAATCATTTCATGCAATGAATTCATTGCCATTTTTGTTCCTGCAGTAAGAAGTTAAATCAGGTATTCTATAAAAGTTAGCTCGGGATTCTCTAGGAAAGAGTCTTGCAGGTCTTTGCACGAACACCCGTGTCCTCAGCCAAGCAAAATTCAGCCCTCCACAGGTCCCTCCGCTACCGCCGGTCAGTTCAAAGCACTCCGGAGGAGCCACGCTGCCGCGACTCTGCCCCTCTCGCGGGCGCTGCCGAGCGCCAACGCTCTCCCAAACCCCGGATCTGAGCGAGGTTGCCCGACGGCGGCCGCCAGCGCCCACGCGGCGTCCCGGAACGGCGCACAGGCTGCGCTCCATGTGAACGGAGCACCGAGACAAAAAGGCTCCTCGCTCGCTAGAGAAAAGGGAAGAATTCGGGAAGCAGAGCCCTCTCCCAGCGGAGAGCTCACTGCAACACTACATTTACACAGAAAAATAAACCGGCGTCCACGTTAACTGGCGGCAGCACCGACCCGAGCCCATCGGCGGCTGGAGGCTCCACGCCATCCCAGCGCTCGTCCCGACTCGTGCACGAGAAGCAAGTGACAGACTGTCAGGTCAGAGCTTGACTTTGCATTTTCTTGCTTCTTTGGACTAGTAAATTACTGCTAGTTGAAAACTACTTGACTAGTTTAACAAATTTGTACAGTTCCTGTAAACATTGAGAGCACACTGCTGCACGCACACAGTAACCGTTCGCAGTTATTAACCTGAATTTGACTTTGCATTTCTTCAGAGCTAGAAAGAGCTCATCCACGTTATGGATCAGTAACACGAAATGAAACATCAAGCTCAACAAAATCAAGTTTTAGCACAAACATTAAAAGTTCAAGTGGATTAATTAAAAAAACGTACGATGAAGAAATTCAGCCCAGAGCAAATTCAATATTCCCTTGAACAGGACAATTCTTGGAGTGGAAACACAAAGCCCTTAATTCTAGCTGCATCACAGGGAATTCTCACATAAGCTGCTCTTTTAAATCCCAAGAAGCGGTTCTCTGACACAAGCTCGGTGAGCTCACGTGGCAGCATTTCGTTAATGCCCAATGTACCATTCTGGCCGAACCGTGGCAAAAAAAAAAAAAAAAAAAAGACAAAAAAAAGACAGCTGGCAGGTAAAATGCAATTGTGTGAAACTTGATTGAATCTTGGCAATATTTGCAGTAGATGAAGGTAACTCACAAGTTACTACAACCCCCAGACATGCTGCCATGCTGCGCTCCGCAGCCAGCCAAAACAAAACGGGAGATTACTTCACCCTCTCACAAGTCGAGATTCCGGGAGGACTTCAGGGAAATCCTCTCTGCCGAGGAGCGGGAACAGTCTGAAAGTACGGGCCAGCATGGAGGGACCAAAAGATTCAAAGCTTTATTTTTTTTTTTTTTTAATAAAGTTAACAGTAAAACAAAATTCACAAGCCTTCCCCTCCCCGAGCTGGTTTCCTCTTCACACACAAGAGCACACAAAACAGAGGTCTCCAACCGAGAAAAATGAAACTGCTCTAAGTACAATGAGACATGATGAAGGAAGGAGTCTACGTATGTCCGTATTCAAGGTTAAAATAAGCAGATCAGGTACGCGTGTTTTGTTTTGTTTTGTTTTTTAGCCAAACTGGAAAAAGAAATTTCCAGGCCCAGAAGCTGAAAAAGAAAATGAAAGACATTAGCACTTTCAAAATTCAAAGACAACCCGGTTAGCCGCTGCCCTGCCGTAGCTCGGTGCCACGCCAGGACTCAACTCAAACAAGTGTCCGCACGGGCAGGAGAGAGGAGATCGTGGCCATCATCTCCAGCAGCTGATTCCCAAGAGAGTAAGTAAGAGAGTGGACAACTGATAATGTGGGTGAAGGAGGCAGATGTACAAGGATGAAGGTGAACAGTACACGAAGCGTGCAAGACTTCCCAAACTTCATTTAACAGAAGACCTCAAGGAGCACACGCTTCCCTAAGGCGGATGCCGAGAGCTCGCGCAGTGCTGTACAGAGCCATCCTGCCCCAAGGGGTGTGAAGAAAGCCTGACCACACGTGAGGTTTGAAGGGACACCGAGTAATAGCTTCTTCACTGCCTCCAGTCACCTCAAAACGTTTGCGGGCAGAGGCCCTGGGGAGGATTCACAGCATCGTGAAAGCAGCGGAGAGCGCTGTGCGGCACATAGGCACGAGACTTCTGACCAAGAACCTGTTGTTGCTTTAGCACCAGCAGCTGCGTCCAAGTCATGGCCAACGATTCCCAAGCAGCAAAGCACCACTTGGATGGCCAAAGCCTACACACGCTTCTGGGAAAGGGAACCCCTGGGTTTTGTTGCTTTTGAACCCAAAAGAACCAGAACCAGCCATCAGCTGGGATGCCGTGCAGACAGAACTTCCCACTTAGATACTTTTATGTGGAAAAGTCAAATACTCTCCTCGAACAACACATTCGCCCCGGGAAACTCAGGTGGCCTTCAAGTGATCTGCGTACTTACGTTTCCAAAGCTGACAGGAGAACACTTCCACCTACCTTCAAAACTGAAGCCGCCCGGCCCTCCAAAGAAGGCCTTGAAGATGTTATTTGCATCAAAGTCTACAGGGAAGAAAGGGAAGTTGTGAGCCCAAGCGAAACAGACTGTTACATTTTTCACCATTTAGAAATTGTCACTAAATCGAGGGCCCATAAAGAATTTCACAAACGGACGAAAAGCCATAAACAGTTTGCTCTGTCTGAGCACTGCTACACAACAGCAGAGCGCACGGCCACCGACAGCGGCACAACCAGGTAAAGCACCAGCTGTCAGAGAGACCATTTCAGTCACAGCGGCAACTAAGAATTTTGGATAAGCAGCATTTAGGGACCCAAAACCTGTCTATGACGTGACTTTACAGTTCCTAAGAAAGACTTCTGCCTAGTGAGAGCTGCTACTTACCAGCTACTCAAGGATAACATCCACCACATAACCTAGACTGTTCACAACTTGAAACGTTCAGTGCAGATCTGCCACTCACATCTTTCAGAGACCAAACCGAGACAACTCATACGGTTATTACAAGCGGAAGGTAAAGAACAGCTAGGCTGCTTTAGAGGAGAAGGCGGACTCTAAATGGTCTAATCTTTCTAAAGGCTGCCATGGTAGAATACCCTAAGGAACACTTACCTCCCATGTTCAATCCATCCTCTTCTAGATCCTGCCCGCTGTCGTAGCGGGCCTTCTTCTTGGGATCTGACAGGATGGTAAAGGCTTCACCAACCTCCTTAAATTTCTTCTCCTCTTCCTTCTGTACTTCTGCACTCGCCCCACTGTGTCGGTCTAGGGATACAAAAACAAGCAGGAAAGAAGCTTTTTGTTTCTAGTGTAAATGGAATGTGCTACACATTCCCAGCTACTGTCCCAGCATGTATTTTAGATTTGTGGGGTCAGAAACGCTATTTGTCCAGAAATTCCCCCTCTCATATTCATTCCCGACTCCGAGTGATGGTTGCTCTGGGCACAGGCACAGAGCGAGGGGATCAAAGCAACAGTACACGCTCTAATAACGGACTCTGTGTGTGTACCTGGATGATGCATTAGTGCTCTTTTCCTGTAAGCCTTCTTGATCTCATCTTCAGAGGCGTTTTTGTCAACCCCAAGGATTTTATAGTAGTCTTTCCGTTTGCTCTTTTTCAGTTCCACCTGTGCGTTCTTTAGAAGTTGCTTGTGTTCTAGAAAGAAGTGCAATGCCAAAGGAAAGCAGCTTCAGCGTCAGGCACAGCCTCCTGCTTTGAAAGAGGCTGATGACCAACACGTTGAGATGACCTGGGGTGAAGGACTCAAGTGCCACAAGTAACCAGTCCACTTTGATTTACAGTCAGGCAGCTAACTAAAGCCTCGCTGTCCACTTAAGGCTGTTTCCTAATGTAGGTAAATATCTCAGCGCTATTAAACCGGTATTAACCCACACGGACTACGGTTACTCTGTCCATTTTGTTTCAGGCTACTAAAAAAGCAAGACAGTAGTTAAGAACGAGAACCATAATCATATATTCTGAATCTAGTGCACTGCTTCGACTACAAGGTAAATTATCTTCTCAGCATTCCATGCTGGGAGAGAAGCTCTGAGACAGGCACTTCCGAGCGCTTCTGAGGACCTTTCTGGTATTGTCCTGCTGGGGCAAAAGGCTGCAAATCAGAGTCTATTGCGGGGAAAAAAAAGAAACAAAAGCAACAACAAAAAAATTGCCAATATGCTCACCTTTCGTTTTTTCTGTCTGATAAACCTTTTCATAGTCTCTTACAGCATCTTCATACTGTTCTGTGTCCATGTAACTGTGGAAAGAAACACGGGTGGCCAAGGTGTACTTCACAGGTAACATATCAAAAGGGTTCGGGCACAAGCTGTCTGGATGGGTCTGGACTACGGAAAAGATGTGCACTGGACCGCAGAAAGAGCAGTCATTAGAGAAACCCACCAAGGGTCACCGCTAGACTGACTGGAAGCCCGGACACCTGCTATCTGTAGGAAATCCTGGCACACGAGCCTGTGCTTTGGCCTCCAAGCGGAGACCGCAATCTCATTTGGCAGCACAAGTTCTACTTTAACGATCTGATAATTACTTCATCCAGCTGCAGGAACTAATACCAGCCAGCAAGAGTTCAAGGAAGGTGGTGCAGAGTTGGACACCAGCAACGCTGGATAGAAGTGACAATCTTGGCACCTCAGAGAGGGACATGTGCCCATCTTTTGGCATTTCAGCCTTACTCATATTAACTGCTTACTGTAATTTAGCAATTACCGAGACGGAGATGAGAAGAACACTGAAGTTGTAAATTTAAATGAATGCACAACAGGAAGGCTGCAATACTGGGTTTGGTTCATCTATAAGCCAGGCAGTTTTGCCACAAACTGGGGAAAAATCAGCATTGAGGAAAGTAGCAAATAAATTCGTAATCAGAACAGAGCTTTGACAGTTTCCCTGGTTGGTGCCAAGTTACAAAGGAGAAACACACTCGAACATCCTTTGCACAGCTCGCTCAGCCTCACTGCGCTACGCTGCGGTATTATCTGTGGCTGAGACAGGTACAGTCTCAGCTGATTTCTCCTTTATGGAAAGCAGCGCATCCCATTTCAAACTCTAGTTTGTTGACAGCATGAACAGCGCTGCCAGGGTAAGATCCTTACCCACAGCAGCCCTTCTGCAAAAGCATTAGAGAGGGGCTCTCTGGGAGAAAACGTCTTACGTCAGTCTATAAACGTAGTAAGTCAAAGAACAGTTAGAACAAATCCTGCCTCAACACAACCACCATAGGCTGTCCCAGACCCACGCAGGCAGGACGGGCTACACAGCGCTTCCCCCGTCTCCTCGTCAGCGTACCAAAGAGGCCCCTTAAGACCGAAACTTTTATTCAGTTAAGTTTCAGGTTTGTTACCCCTGTCACTCAGTGCCGTAAGGGAGGAGGTTCCTACGCGCAAACCTGCTCAGCACGTCCATTATAGAGCTCTACTTACCATTGTGCTCTCCTCAAGTATGCTTTGATATACGTGTCATCCAGTTTTACCGCATTCGTGCAGTCATCTATTGCTTCTTCAAGTTTCCTAAGCTACAATGGCAGACAGAAGATAAGTGAATCCCAATCAGAGAGCAAATTCTGCTGAGTAGCATTATGATTTTAGGCAACTGAAAGGAGTAAAGAATCTTGGAAAATCGCAGTGGTTTGTGTGTCTGCGTTTAGGATTTTTTTTTTTCCAATCCCTCAAAAACACAGAGCTTTTGTTCCGTAGGGAAAAATTAGAAGCTCGGCTAGCGGAATGGTAGAACTACGTGGTGCTTCTCTTTAAGACATGCACTTGGAAACAAGGCTCTTCCTGGGAATGATCTGAAAACCAAGTTATTCTGTGTCCAAACTCCCAGGCAGAAAAATAAACTTAAAAATATTTAAAAGATTTTGTTTTTAAAAAAGCATTGTTTCCAGACACAAATAGCCACATAAAATTCCATTATCGATGCCTCCAGCTCATCCTATTTTCCAGGTTTTGAGAACAGCCTCTGTCTCTTGACCAAGCGGGGGTGGTGAAAAGCCCCACTGCGGGCAGCGGGGACAAGAGGACGCAGAGGGCAGAGGCAGCTGAGGAGGCAGCGCAGGGTGGAAACGGGAAGCAGTATCACACGACTGACTGTTCCTCTGGATAGTTCATGACCAAAACACAACAGCAAACCTGGAAAATTGTCCCCGGGTTTTAAATTAGGTCATATTTTTTTAGATCAGAAAACAAACACAGATGATCTACAAGAAGAATAAGAAAAAAAACCTCCTCATTACGGGGAAGGAAACAAATAAGGATGCCTTTATGCTGATAAGGATAAGGCCAAACTACATTCCTCCTCTCCCTCCCACTCTGCGCAGCCCAAGTGTTTGAGTTTGTTTCTTCAGGAGGCAACTTTGTTGGCTGTTTGGAACAGACCCAATCACTGTGCAACTACAAAAACCTGAAACACCGCCTACAGCACTGGAAAGATCCAGCTGCGCCAGCAGCCAGGGAAGCATCTGCTTTCCAGAGTAAGTGATGTGCGATTTATAAGCTATGTGGAGGAATATGATGAGACACTACCCACCAGGTGACCACTTCTTACCTTTGAATTAACTGTTCCTCGGTTGCAGTAGAGTTTGGCATTTGTTTTTATGTTATTGGGATCTATTCCTAGTGCCTCTGTGTATAGTTCATATGCTAGTTTGTAGTTTCCTTCTTTGAATGCTTTATTCCCATCTTCTTTCTTTGCTTTAAGTGCTTTGGCATTCTGAAAGAAAATATACCCTGGATAAGGACATGAGGTAAGTGGCTCAGGGACACCGAGCACCTTATTTTGCTGGTCCGTGTCCTCAAACTTAACCGTTATAATTTGCTTTCAGACACCATTACAGGATGCAGAAGTAACAGCCTCACTACAGCAGCTGAAATGATCCGTAAGCATTTTGCCTTTCCCTGAAGAGAAGTGCTAAGGAACAGCGGGTGCCAGTTCCGGGCATTCTCCACAGGAACAACAGTTGCCTAATGTTTAAGATAAGAACATGACAGTGAAGTAATTTTATGGATTAAAAAAAAAAAAAAAAAAAAGAATGGGACCTCACTTTTTGATAGCTTATACAAGTTCACTGACTTTTCAAATCTGTTTAAGAACTGCAACAGATGAAATGAGGGAAGGAGCAACATGAAAGGAGTATTTAAATGCAAGTCAACCTGTAGGCAGTAATATTGAATCTGACAGTCAGAAGTTCGCTTAGAACTGATAGACCTAGTTTTATTGCTCCTATATCTGATCAAGGAACAAAGAAGAATGAAAGGGAGGCAGTCTTCAAAGTATCAGTCTTCTGAGAAAACGCTTCTAGCAACTCAGCTTTACTTAAAGCAGCAGCCGGTTGTCTTTGGGAAGGGCTGGACGCACTACCCGCTACTGGAGATCTGGGGAACCGTACCACTGAGCGAGGGAGAAGGCATTGATCCAGCAGAACCAAGGTGGGTGTTTGGTTAAACAAACCACCCCGATTCTGGTAATTTTGCAGTCCCATCCCCAGTACCCACAACTTACACGGCAGGCGAGACACGCTTTCTCGTGATCAGGAGCCATTCTGAGTGCTTGGACAAAGAACTGCACTGCCTTCTCAATACAGTCCTCATAGTAAAGGCAGAGACCACGGACATACAGAGCGTCTGCATTTGTTGAGTCCATTCGTAAGATGTCACTGTAATAGATATATTAAAAAAAAAAATCATTTCCCTATTCTGGTTTCCTTCTAATCTCCAAAATATCTCCTCCACTGAGATATTTAGTTATTTTATCAAGTCCACGGTACAGATGTGCAAAATGTATGGGACTTGCTCAAGCAAGACTGTTGGTTATTAACTGAGTCCAAATACAGGTTCCCAGTAAGACTAACTTTAAAGGAGATTAATTTATCATCACAATTTGCAGTAAGGACTATTTCTTTTTCATATTCCCTCATTCATTTTGGGCTGTGGAAACCAAGCAGCAGCCAGGACGCACCACCAGCTGTTCGTCAAACTCGAGAGGTGAAGAGGCTCACCTGGCTACAGACTGTGCTTCTGGGTAGCGACCCAGTAACGCTAAACATTCCGCCTTGAGGATTTTGAATCGGTGACAAGCAGGAGCAAACTCCAAAGCACGATCCATGCAAAATACAACCTGGTGTGAGAAAAAAAACACAAATGTGAGCAAAGCAAATAGCCAAAGGCCTGATTTGAAATGCTGCACCATTACCACACTTGAGATTTCTTATTGGTCTTTGGACAGGAAGAGAAGCGCGCAGGTACCCGTTTCCTCTGCTGCTAGAGACGTATTTCATTAGAAAATTTTTCTCATGTGCAGGTTTTTTGTCTTGTCTTTTAAAGGCCTTTGTGTACAAAGGTCTGTGACACCCGCTATGTTACTACGCCCCAGCACTACCCAGAAGATTCAAGGGACACCTGTAGAAGGTCCATCCCTTTAGCTCTTCTGAAATTGCAGGCCCTAAAGAAAAAGGCAAGGAAGACAATTCTGCCCCTGTTCCCTGCATTATAAGACACTTTGGCAGGACAGAAATTCAACAGAGTGAGACACTTTGGACTGGACAAAACACAAAGTACAGTGCAGGGACTGATCTTACACTGCTCTGACTGCAATGGACAGGGTGATCTAATAGGTTCTTTCCATCTCTGCCTCTCTGGTGGGGACATCTGCACGAGAACAGGGTCATTGTTCCACCAAGGTTCATCTGCTTCCCCGGCCCGTGACATCACGATTGCCCACTGTGGGAAGCACTGTGCTCCAGACTGAGAAGCCAATGGCTTCTGGGTGAGGAAGGAGCCAGAGCAGCTCTCCAGAAACAAAGATCACATTTCATGCAAGCCTCCCCAGCAAAGTGAGACAGGAGGAGCGAAGGGACAGATGCAAAAGCCCAGAACATGCAATACAAGCAGGGCAGTTCCTACACACAGATCTAGATTGACCATACATCACATCTGCTCCTCATAACCAGGTGGTGCAAAGCTGGGATTTACCCTTCCAAAATCTTGAGCTTAGCCTAGGAGTGTGGACAATCTCTTCCCGGGCCAAACTTGGGCCTTACGTGCATCTATTCAACAGAAACAGTTGTATGAGAAGTGTTTGGTGCCTTTCAGATTTTGTGCTGTCATTTCTTGTCATATCAGTCAGTACCAGCCGCATCCTGTTACCGCCCTTGGGAAGAAAGATTTGGAAAGAGGTACGGAGAATGCCCCACGCAGATCTGCATTCCTCCTTCAATGACCCTCACTAGAATACTGGCAGACAGACTCTTTTTTTTTTTTTTTTTTAATTAAAGAGTTGAAGAGTCCTGGGTATGCATTTTAGGAGCAAAGCGTGACCAAATGCTGCTGCTGACAAAACCTGTATCAAACAGCTCATTCATGGTTCCCCTCACCCTGCAAAGCAAGCAGTACTAGAGGATATTCAGCCCAAGCCAGTCACTCTCTTCACTCTTCATCCGTTCAGGGCTAAGAGAACATGAGCTCTGCCATTTTCACAGCTGTTACAGCTCGCAGGACAGCCCTGCTTCAACAGCACAATTACGTGTACAGCACCTCCCATTAAGACCCAGCTAACGTTAGGCAGGGAAATTAGACGTGCATCTGGCCGGAGTGGCCAGGTAAAATATACCTGTTGATAATGTTACAGGAAACAATCAAGTTCATCTTACCTTCCGGAAATCCCGTTTCTCAAAATCCACTTCAGCTATTTTTTCATACTCAAGCACAGTACTGGCATTCTTCAGCTGAAAGACAGAACACCGCAAGTGTTGCAGGACAGTCACTGGCCTGAAACACCATCAAGCAGCGTTTAAGCAGCCAATCCCTAAAGTGTCAGAGCAAAGACTACTGCAGACCGTGGAACAATAACGCAGATTACATAAATGCTTTTGCCAGCATTAAAATCATTTTGAAATCAAGAGACCTAACTGGTAGCCCCGGAAAACGTACCCCTGAGAATGAGATACAAAAGTGAGAGCAGCCTTCTACACGCTGCATCACCCATTTCCGTGCTCCCTTACCACCATTCACCATTTCTCCTCTGGAGTGCTGGGCGAAGGACCAGTTAGCCTCCATGCTCTTCTGCTAAGAAGAGACAATCACCCAGAAAAGTAACTATGCAACCTTGTGGTCTACTGAAAACCAGATCTAGCGACTTTGACAGCATCTCATTTTTTCCCATTACCTCACAGCATGCAAACAGTCATTGCTAATGATGACTGCAACTCCACTTTGCAAATTTGAAGTGAAAGGCTTACCAGTTCAATATGTCCGCTTTAACAGCCCCATCTACCGGGAATATTTAAATTTTAAGAACCTCTTACCTCTTGCTGCGCCTGGGTATTCTTATGATCCAGTTCTAAAACTCGTTGAAAGCAGCGGCTGGCAGCCATGGCGTTCCCTAGGGAAAGGTGGCACTTCCCTTCCCGTAGATGGCCCTGAGAAAAGAGTTAAAAGGGAGTCGCAAGAGCTGCAATGTGTGGAGACAGGGGTACGGAGACAGGAATAAGAAGTACGAAGTTTTCCACGTACCCTTACAAAGCTATCATCCAATCTGACAGACTGTTGAGCATCTCCAAGGGCTTCTCGGAATCTCCCCAACATCATGAGTGTGGCAGCTCTGTTACCATAATAACTGGCATTATTAGGACAGGTATCTGGAGAAGGTGTGAGAGCACTCGCTGTTAGTGTACTGCAAGCAGCTATACAACTTGTACAACATATCAAAAAGCCGTGGTTGGATTCAAAACTCACATTCCCTCCCAATTTATAACATCATCTGAATGGCTTAAGATGGCGCATGATGGTCAAGCAGCTCTTTTGAACAGCAAGTCATAAAGCTGTTGCTCCCCATACTATACACGGGAATAAACCATATAGAAAAAACGCTGGTGGTGTTGAGTCTGGCAGCACTGCTGACCTGGCATTACAGGGAAAGCTGGACTGGTTTCCTTTTAAGAGTATCTTGGCTGGAGGAGCAACGAAGAACTGCTGCAATCCCCCACGTTGGCACTGACTTGCCGTATCAATCTGGCGAAATGTCTTAAGGTAATTAAAGCAGGCAAAAAGTTTTCATCCCGTGTGTGCTGTTAGAAACCCTGGTGGTGTATTTTAAATCAATATCCAGTTCTGATTTTTAGACACAGTGTTCAGCAAATATTAATATTATTAGCAACCTTTCTCACCTATGGCTTTTGTGTAATAGTTGTACGCTTCATTGTAATCTTTCTTGGCATAGTATGCGTTTCCTTGTTCCTTGAATGATTCTGCTTCTCTGAAAGGAAGCAAAACACCACATTTTAAGAGGAATCGAGCATCAGAACAGATTCTGACCATGACCAAGCATTTGATCCCCACGCAATCTCAGTGTAACTCTTCAGTGCTCCAAAACGCCTACAGCCAGTCACTGCGAGATTTCCTCTGTACGCACTGCTCACGAGAACACAGCACACCTCGTGTCCGCTGGCTCTCAGACACTTCATCGCTTCCCTAGGGCCATGAACAGGGACACTCAGGGATATCAACTAGCCGAATATTACAGGAATGCAATAGCAGACTAAAGGCACCGTTGAGCACCCTCCCTTCTGTCTCAGGGGAACCGGCTTCTGGAGTCCAGCAAAACCCAGTTGCACATCAAGCCAGCCTGCGGGGTGCTGCATGACCTCAGCAGTCATCGAAGTCAAGAAACAGAGTGCTGCCTATCTTTCAGAACTAGTCCCACATACTTAAGAAACAGGGCCAAGAACAATTTCTACATTCAAAAGACAGCTAAATCGAGGAGAAATAAGGGTGCAAGCCTCAAGTAGAAGCTTGGCACTGCCTTGGCAACAGGTCTAGAAATAGTCCTCACACTCAAGAGCAAGCATATGCAGAGACAGTTTAGGACATTTTAAAACACACAACATATGGTTTAAAGCAGCATCCCTTAAACTCTTGAAAGCAAAGTTTCCCCTGAAGGAAATTAAAGCTTTCCTTCCCTTCTCCCATCCACATTCACCATTTTAGATAAGCAGTCTGAGAGGGAATGTGTAGCATGGTGTTGAAGTTTAATTCAGCTTCATTTAATTAAATTCAGTGATTTAATTCACTTGCTTCCTCTCCTAGACTGTTCAACATGTAAAAACTATGAGGCCAGCTCAGAAGCAGCATCACCCCACTCTAAGATACAGCAGTCAAGACCTGCATCACGCTTTTGGGACTTCACTACTGTAGCCAGAGCGGCAGACACTGTTTGTCCACTCTCCGAAGCACTGGCACAATGAGAACTCCGGCCCAGACAAAGACAAATTCTAACCATCAGAACAGAGACCAACTCGGACTCCATCCTTCACGTCCCACCAGGGTGGCAGCCAGCATATATACGAGCCTCAGCTACTCTCTCCTCCAACAACTAGCAACCTTCTGGGAGAGCAGCCCAGCCGCGGGGGTCACCTGTGCAGGGGAAACGAGTGCATCACAAGCAGTACAGTTGAAGCTGATCATTACAGGTCATCGTATTCCTCTTGGGTGACTGCCAACCGACCCGAACATAGCCTTTGCTGAAGCAGTGAAGCAGAAGCCAAAGAAGCTAAAATAGCTGGGTGACCCCCCCGTCTGCCAGAGCAGAGCTGCACTTGTGGGCTCAAACATGGGTCGGGTCCAGGCTGGGCTGAAACACTGGGCTTCAGCATTTTCTTGAAAGAAGAATCCAGAAGTGAAGGTGTCTCTCTGCACCATTTGCTGCAGGAAAGCTATTTACAGGGAAACCCCAGGTAAAGAAAAGCAAACCGAATCAGAGAACACAGGACGAGAGAGTGAAGAGTCACAGGACTTCTTACATACAAATCCCTCCATCCAACTCCAGAGCAAGCACGAGCTGTCAGTCGCTCTCAGGGCTGAGGAGCTTTATTTCCGTAGCTGGCGACAGGACTGTAACAGTGAAAGGCCTGAGTCAGAGCCACTCTTCAGTCTATCAGGTACTACAAACACCAAGATAAACTTTCACTTGAAAAATTTAGGCTCATCTATGGCAGACAGTATAATGCAAATGATCGACTTCTATATATTTCTGCCCACCTTTACAAAATTCTCAAAAATGAGATGCAGCTTTGGGCACATTTAGGGACTGGGTTTTGCCCAGAGGAGGCAAAGACTTTTGTCTGTCATGAATCATGTTCTTAATAAACCCACCAGGATAGAAGTTGACTGTCTTCACTGAAGGCTGTAGCTACAACACATTCGAAGAGTGGAAAGGGGCTTTTACTACAGAAGACGTACTGTTAGAGCGTACCATAGCGAGACGCCTCTTTCAATATACAAATTAAAACCGAAGGGAAGATGCTGACTAGCGCTGCATTTTCGTAAGCTGCCAAATCCAAGACCTGCGTGTGCAGAGCAGATTTGGTACGAGTCAACCGCCACTTCCCATTTTTATTTTGGAAGTACCTACAGATCAGACCCTTATGTGAGAAATGCATTTATCTACGGGAAGCTGCGCTCGCTACGAAGCTGCCACCCCAGGGCAGACTGAACTCAAGCCGCAGTGTCCTCGCCGAGGGGGGAGCACGGCCAGAGCCCCCCGGCGCTCCCAGGGCATCTCGGCAAAGGCAGGGCAGGAGCCGAAGCGGGGAGGAGGGACCCCACCAGTCAACGGGAGCAATGTTCAGCGAGCCTACTAGAGAGAGAACAAAGGGAATTGTGTTGCAACAAGTTCACATGTTTTTAACCTCATTCAGGCTTGCCATTGGCCATTCCCACACAACCGCCTCATGCAAGGGGTTGTTTTCACGGAACCATCCCAGTTTTGCCAGCTGGCAAAACAATAGACACAGGGCGCTGCCACGCCGAGGGCCCGCAGGCCACAGCTGAAGTGCCTGCTCTTCACTTTCATTTTTAACTTTTGCTATCAGCTACGCTCCGGCAACGGAGCAGAGGCACCCCTGCTGTAACGCTGCTGAAGTCAAGGAACGGAAAGAACATACAACCCCATTGCTGTGTTGGTTTGAAATAAGATGAGTAAGTAACAGGGTGGCAAGGAAACGGTTTCGTGCATGCACCCCACTGCCTCAGAAGAGTCTCGTCACGACTCCCGGGTCCAGTTCAGCCCCACCGCACCCGCTCCCGTCCCAGCAAACGATGAACTCGCCCGCCTGAGATGGGAAACTGCCGTACCCCCTCTGCCCCAGCCTCCCACGACCCACGGCGGGTGCTTCTTCGGCAGCCCTGCTCTTCCTGCGCAGCCGGCACCCTGCCGGACCCCCAACAGCAGCACAGCTCCGCGCTCCCTTCCCTCGGGCCACAAGCTCGAGAAACCATTCTGTGCCTGTTGGACGGAGCTGTTTCGAACGCAGCAGGACTCATACTTTGCATGAGTATTACAGATCAAACATTCAAAATACAGTGGAAAAAATAATCAGCAATTCTGCACTTCTGGAACCTCGGCAGCAAGTAGTTTAACCAACGCTATCCTCTTGTTTCTGTAATCATAAACGGAAAGGAAAAAGCACAGATGCTATTGAAGTTCCTTGCCTCAGCAGCTCTCTGTTGTATAGCCTAAAGAAAAGGATGAACGGTATTAATGGCAGAACTCATCTCGGAGCCACCACTGTAACCTGTTTAGCATACCAGTCCCTGATTCACAAGTCTTTTAGCAATTTTACCTGTCATGTTACGAGGAAGCATTGTCTAATAGATACAGCTCGAGGGCTGGGCGCCAGAACACCCTGTCTGCCAACAAACTGCCGGGAAGAGCTGGGAAAACGGGAGAAAGAAAACAGATACACGGCAAAATCAACTTTCACAAAGCATCGGTATTCTGAGATGCGAGAGAAAACACACAAACACAAGAATTACTGTTTTCTACCCTTTTTTACTCGTCTATTTCCTTTTAAGCATTTACTTTAACACAGAGTGACATACCACCACGTCACAGCAGCTCAGATAACACTAGCAGGAAGGAAGCACACAGGTATTTCTACCGCTCACGTGGCTTAAAGCTTAACGATGAAAAAAGATTGTGAAAGAAAGAGCAAATTGCCCCCAAAGCACGAAGGTAAGGACAGTCGCTGGAAACGCAAGGCTTGCGGTCTGAGGTCCCCGACACAGAACAGAAGCATCTCTCCCCAGTTGCGCTCCACCGACATAGAAAGCACACAGAGACAACAGTCCTTGTTTACCACGGTCTCTGGCTATAACAAGAAAAAATGCAGATCTCCTGATATCACTGGTAATTGTTTCAATCCAAACAGATGCTGCAGCCTGAATGAGATCATTCTGCATCTCGCACTGATGTAGGCTGCATTCCCCACTTGCTACTTTTGAAACTGAAGAAGAATCGTGCTTTGCTAAAAATACGATCCCGGCTGAATGGATTGCTTTGTGAGGGGAGGTTAGTGTCTTCTCAGGGCTTCTCCACGCTGGACGCGGAGGACAGGGAAGAGTCGCACCAAGGATCTCAGGAAGAAGCTTGTCTTTCATTGCTTGTGTGCACCACAGCCTCACAAGGAGGGCACTGTTTGGAGTGACTCTCTCCCCGTGAGCTAGTCAATTTTTTTTTCTCTTTTATAACATTTGTGAGTACCCCTAATTCTTCAAGTGCTCCGGCCCCTGTCCCCCTAGAGGACCTGCCACCAAGACAAGTGGCAGCCTTGTGTTCTGATGCTGCCCCTGCACACCCAGGGGCTCGGAGGACGCAGCGCGAGGAGCTCGCTGCCTGCCTGGTGGGAGAAGGAACCAGCACAAGGCTCCTTCTATTCCCCGTGCC